ACGGACAGCTGGTGGAGCTCGAGATCGACGATGTTGGGCAGAAGGGATAAGATTTGGGTAAAGCGCAGGTATTTATCGGTACGCAGGGACAGGCGCCGCAACGGCGAGTCTGAATGTGCCATGACCGAAACACCGGGCACTTCGGAGGAATTGGAAGTAGCGCCGGGGTCGAAGAAATCCTGCTGCGATAATCCAGGCAAGGTCGAGAGGATAAGGATATCGAGACACACGCCCATGCCATCGAGTTCAAGAGATTCAAGGGTGAGGTGCGGTGCAGGCAAGATCGAGCAGTCCAGGCTTTGCTGAGTACCGTGCATGCTAACCCCAGTGAATACGCAATCCACCAGGCAGGCGGCTAGTCGCAAAACCTTCAAGCAGTCGTTCCCATAAAAAACATCTCCTCTGAATCGGGTGAGCTGGGCCCATGGCAGGGGCAGCAGGTACGGTCGGATATTCCTCAAAACGACGTAGCGCAAATTTGGAACGTTCCCGAACGCATGCACGGGTGTTGCATGGACATCCGGAGAGTAATATTCTGTAACGATCTTGAGCTGTGCGAGTTCTGGGAGTTTTCCTTGTAGGCGCGACCGGAACTCCTGTCTGATAAGATCGCTGTAGGGCAATCGCAAGTCTGCGACTGTCCATTGAGTCGATAGATCCAGCATCGAGCGGAATGAGTCGGGGAAACGGGGTAGAGTTGCGGCCCACGGTGCCTGGGGCGCCTCGCGATGAAGGAAGATGGATAACGGCGCCGATCCGGCTCTGTCGACCCATTCCGCAACCTGCTGATCATCAACGACCCGCGGACGTTCGAGAGGAAAAGATCCGCTGAATGAAGCCCACAACCTTGGAGTTTTAAGGGCAATATTTCTCCAGGTTTGACAAACCCAGGTCAGAAGCAGAGGGAGCGGAGGCGACACTGGCGAATAGCCGAACGGAAGGCGGACGTCTTCGGATTCGGAGGACAGCACACAGCAGAGAAAGATCTCAGAGGTGACCTCGACGGGCAGTGTGACGACGGGATAGACGATAGAATCAAGTTCCTTGCGTATCATCTTCCGCTCCGCCTCGAGAACTGCGATTTGGGAATCGAGTTCTGCCAGTCGATTTCGCAACACATCGTGTGCTTGCATTTTCTACAGGATCCTATTCAGCGGGTTCAATCGGCGAAGAAGGTACTTAGTTGCACACCTGGACCTGATGATTGTGCAACGCAAGCGGAAGGCTGGATCAACAACCCGGGCCGGTCAGGCGATCAACAACCCGATTCGACTTTCTTCTCAAACATCGATCTCTTTGTGAACTATGGCCGGACTCAGCGATCGCGAGCGATATGGCCCGCACGACTGGGATAAACCCACGGAACTGTACTATCAACGGAGTGCTGAGAATGAACGACAGATCCCAAAGCCCTCATGGACGTTCCCTTCACCATTTATCCCATACACGGCAGACAAGAGCAGCATGTCCACAGAGCAGGTTTGCTGGGGTCCTGAGCCGCGAACTGTGAGATATTCTTCTCCTCCGCGCATACCCACTGTCGTTGATCGGAATGTTAGCTGGCGGAGATGCGAATGTATGCCTTGTCTTGGGCCATCCGTAGCAAGCCTGAGTGGCAGCGCAAGATGAAAGATCCCGTTATACTGGAGAGGTGGCGAAAAGAAGCCCTGGAGCAACAAGAGCACTTGCCGGTCGAAGAAAAATTGACACTGAATATGGTGCGGTCGGAGTGCGGGATCTTGGTGTATCCGAACTCATCCACTGCAGGTAAACTATGTCTTGACGGAACTAGATGGATACGCCAGGCTTGCGGATTCCGACACCGGAATCGAGGTGCGTACTATGTTTTCGCAGCAAGAAATAATACCAACATTCGTAGAGTGGTCCATTCGACGCCATCTGGTATTCCGACCGTCTCATACCGAGCGAGGTATCGGACCGTCTCCGCGCCGAAATTGCCCAACTTGAGGACGTACCAGACGACTTGAGGGATTGGCATCCTGGTTCGAACGGCCAGGTCCTGGATTTGGTGCACCCCTCGCTTTATTGCATCATCTACGGCCGGACGCAAGACTCCAATTTGAATCTTGTGGAGCCTCCAGAATACAAAGATTCAGAAACCTATGCCAAGCAAGCGCTATCTAAACACTTCTCCTGGCTCCCATCTGATTTCTCCGTCGATGCGACCGACGGCTCAGTTAAATTACTCTCTCCGTACATCAACAACCTCCATCCGACGAAACACGTCTCTCTTTATCGGGTAATCGAATCCGCTTTATCGTCTTATGTACCTTTGTTCGAACGCGTCCTGAGCCAAGTCAATGGCCAGGACAAGGACCTTTTTCGCGACATTACTCCGGGATCTGGGCGGATAATACCGGAACGCGTTTTCGGAACGTGGGCCGGATACAGCTGGAAGTTCTGCGGGGTCGCAGTTCCGTGCATCTGGAACAATGTCAAGGTAGAACGGGAGCCTGGTATGACTCGGGCTGAGTATAAGAAACGGAGGAAGGAGGCACCGAAGACTCTCCCGGAAGCTTACGAATCATACACGGGCGAACTTGAAAAGACGATCGCGCCGTACTCTCTTCGTGGCAAGACCATCCAGTGTATCATCAAGCTCGCTAACATACACTTGTCCCCTGAGAACCCCGAATACAATGGCGGGAGCTGGCATGTAGAAGGTGCGCGCGTAGCGCTCGCAGTTTTCAAGGCAGTTCATTCATGGCCCCCTTTTCAGGCATGATCAATGAGCGCATCGTTGCATCCGGAATTTATGTGGGTTCCACCTGTCTCTCTTGAAATTCCTGATTGAAATCTGGGGTAGTACTACGAAGAAGACAATATCACCGAGTCTCGACTCGCCTTTCGTGTTACCACCGGACCCCCTGTATACCACCAACAAGACGACAGTTACTGTATGGAAATTTTGTACGGGATGCAACGGTGTGTCCGGAGCCCATTGTTAACTGAACTCGTCTGATTTCTTTCCAGCGATTCCCATTGTTGCCAGGACCTCGGGTCGATAGTGAGCACATTCCATTCGCTTCTTTGGTTCTTAGCCTTCATTGTATCAGAAAACAAGCAGCGGCCGTGCGCTCGCGTGGCCCAACATTTACCAGCACCGCGTTGCTCCTTTCCATCTCGTCGACCCGACGAAACCTGGCCACCGAAAAATTCTAGCCATCTTCCTGATTGACCCGTCGATCGAGCCAATACCGTCCGCAACAAACGTGCCGCCGCAGCAGGCCGACTGTGCGGTCAACCCCCTGGAAGAGGCTCGGAACGACCCCCGGACCGTCGTCTCCCGCCTCCCACCCGAGCTCTGCGTCTTGATCCAGGGGGAATTGCCTGATACTTTCATAACCCGGGAAGAAGCTGAGGAGTATAGGTTGCAGCTCATGAAAGAGCGCACCACTTTCGTCAAGATTCACGACCGCGAGTTGGCGCATAGCTTTAACATGTGCGAACACTGACCGTGTGGGTTGATTTCTTTCTTGGTGATTTCTTGGTCGCATGTAAAGGACATTGTAACTATACTTGCACAAAATCGCTGAGCCCGGGTGCACACCCTGGCCCAAAATTCTAAAACAACAAAGGATGGAGACAAGGCTCCCTGCTTTTCTATTCCAAGTGTTTACGCTCGTTTCTTTTTGCCGCCAACTTGAACGGGCGACCCGAGTCCCGCAGTTTTGTAACTCGGACTTGCAATGTACTCTGTCATTCTTCCGTTTCAGCGTATGCACCAGTTTCTGGTTCATCTCCTTGACTTACAAAGGACTAAATTCGGATGATTATAGTGGCATTCAAAACGAAAAGGAAGTTGACATCGAATTCATACACCAACCTCTGCCAATCCTTGTTGTACGGTCAAATTCTCGAGGCCCAGGCTCGGAACAAGAAATCTCTCATTGACCTGCCGGTGGAACTTCTCAGCATCCTCGTTCTCTCGGCCTCCCTCTCTCGCAACACGACGTAGACGCTTCCTCTTCCAGCCCCATGGATTACGGATGTCCTGAAAGCCGAGCTAGCACATGAATTGATTCGCACGAAACCGGAGTTGCAGTCTTTTCATAATTTAGTCTCCCCTCATGCGGCAACTTCCGTGCAGATTGCGACGAACGCCGGCGGGGCGGTGGAGAAGGCTCTAGTCCCTGATATAATCCGGGCCTGCACAAGGCTTCGCGCGCTCGCCTGCCAAGTTGTCGCGTTGGTGCCTCTGCGATAATGCAGATCCTTTCATTTGGCCGCTCGCTGCAAATCCCGTCCGGCTCAGCGTACTCGAAAATATGTGGGTGCCACGGGCACGTCTGGTTCCAACTTCTCAACGGTTTCACATTATGTCTACCAGCCACGGTGTCCAATTTCTCCACAACCTCACTCACCTCTATCCCGTATTATCGCCACAAGTTTCCGAAATCTTCCCCGCCACCGACCTGCCCGGCCTTACACATCTCGCGATGGTATCCACGCGGGACTGATTCCGCAAGCTCGCCGAATATCCCGACCGGATCAAGCGTTTTGCACGCTCGGTCGACCAGCTCTCGCTACCGCTCACCGTAGCCGTTCTCGTCATTTGGCGCGCCGGTGGTTTTACGACGGACCTCCATTCCCACCAAAGCCGTGGCACGCCCGTGAGATGATCCGAGCAATGAGAGAGCAGCGGAAACTCGAAAGTTGCGCCAGTGAGTCGCACCAACCGTTGAAATTCTGGAATGAAGTGGGGAAGATATCTGGGCCTTGGCTCAGAAGCCTATGGATATGTACGATCGATGGCTTGTAGAGGCCTTTCAACAAGGATTTTCGCTAATCTTGAAACAGAAAAATTATTCAATTACATTCCGGTATGTTGCATGTTGGTTGACTTTACAAGGGATAGCATATGTAAGGTGGGACGACTATTGGAGTTGAATGGAATCAAAAAGAATAACAAGCCACTGGCCCTTTATGCGCAGGGTAAAAAGGACACGCATCCCTACAGCGGAAAGAAAACGAAAAAGTGACAACAGTGGGATTCGAACCCACGCCCCGGAGGACCAGATGTGATACAAGTCACCTGATTCTGGCGCCTTAGACCGCTCGGCCATATTGCCTTTCATCCTACCGCGGATCGATGACAACAGCGCAATTAAATATTACCAGCTACTTCTGAATCTCCCGAACGAATTTCTCGTTGAACAAGAATATGACGGGTAGCAGTGGAGAGGGTGAGGGGAGGGAGGGGACGTGGAGGCAGAGGCAGAGGCGGAGGTGGCTTCCACGGCAGCTGCGTCCGGGAAAGGAATGCAAGTGGAGGATGGGAACGGCGGGTTGGAAGTGAACGACAGGAACGGCGTGTGGAGGAAAAAGCGAATCTTGACACCGGGGACGTTCAGCAGGCCGCGGAGCAGCATCGGGAGGAGCATGAGGTGGTAGTCCTGCACCCAGACCATGGCGCCGGGGGTTGATCTATGCGCAGACGACTTCAGGGAAGTGGAGATTCTCCTGGCAGTACGCGAGCCAGTTCTCCTTGTCAAAGTTCATCTCGTTGGGGTGGTAGTGGAAGAGCGGCCATAGGATAGAATTTGAGTAGCCGTTGTAGTGGCAGTCTGCGAGGTCGTCGTTGGGGCGGTCCTTGGGGTGAATGAAAAAGCTAGGTCAGCCAATCCAGGTGAAGTTGAGGGCCTATTTGAAGCCAGAAGAGGCGGAGACGAGACCGCCCGAGGACATTTTGAATTGTGTCTGTGTCAGGCGAGGGGGAGCGGGGCAAAGACAGGCCCATTTCGGTCGAGTATAAGTATGTCCGATGCGGACATGGAGGTGGGTGGCGGACGTAGAGGAATTGATGAGGTCCATCCCTGCGTCGGCATTGTGTGCACCGTCGGTACTAGGAGCGGATACCAGGAATGCCTTGCAAGGGAGACGCCGGGGATAGAAAAGGAGCATGGAATGGAGGAGGATGACGGGAACGATTGGGCTCGAGGTCTTGTGACATCCCACCTTTTTTTTGGGGGGTCCTCACGTTCTTCTCATTTCTTTACTACCTTTCGTCTTCACGGTCTTCTCATCTCTTTGCTGCCTACCTCACCGGATTACGCTCTCCCCTCGTCTTAAAAAAATAATTTCTTATCCCGCCGCGTCAAGATATTGGTAGTGCTTGCACAGCACCCATACGGAGGTGTCGAACACCCGCCACGGCGTGTCATGATTTTCCGACGGACTCCCCTCTCTCCTCGGCGCACTCCTCGTGGAATCTCGCGAGTTATGTGAGTCTTTTTTTTTTTCTCCACTTATTAGACCTTACCCGTGTTCGCCCCAGACGGCGAATGAATAATCCAAGACTCCAGATTCGCGCACTATTGGCGAAGCGGCACGCCTATAAATCCGACGGGCCTGGGGTAGTTTATATTACCAGCCGGCTCCCGTACTCGATATGGAACGCGTACCTTCAAGGTCATATTCAGTCATCAGACTTATTGGATGCGTTGGAAGTAAAGGTTGGGCATACGAGTAATATTTCTCGACGCCAGATGGAGTATCGCGTCTGCGCCAGCGGGATTGCTATCCGTTGGCACGTTGCGTTCCGCGCGCGCAAACACATTCTGTCTGGTGAGTCTTGGTGCTTTCATCTTTTATTTCTCATCTAGTAAAATTCCAGAGGCGATCGCCCACCTTCTCCTCCGCGATATGGGCGCCGTTCCTTCGGTGTATCCTTGCCCGGGCTGTACCGTCTCGCATCGGGAGTACGTACCCTTGCGATCCGTAGGAAGTCTGAACGCCCTCGTGCGCTTGGTTCGTTACGCGATCCGGGAGACTGGTCAACTAGTGGTCCCAGAGTAAGCTTTCGAATTTGCTCCAGACATTACTGAACCTTACCGTTGCAGAGTTCTGTTATCTCCCTTCGTATAAATAATCAACGCATACCTGTAGAATATTTTCAGTACATATACCTGTAGCATAGTTTTCACCCACGCAGAAATTCTGCCCAAAATTGTTTATTATCGTCACGTCGTGCTCCTGCTTTAGACAGGTCGATCAGCAACTGCAAGCTTATAACAAATCCTGTCTGAGAGACGGATAAGTGGTCATTATATATATTCAATTGCTTACTCACCAGCAATCTATTCGCCCGTTTTTTTTCTGAGTGGCCTAGTTCTTCGACCGGCCGGAGATTCCCCGCAATATCAGATGGCATACTTCACTAGTGGTAGCGGTCCGTCATTCCAATTCCACGAATGCAATTGGATTGATTTTACTACAAAGGTTCTTGTAGCTACGACGTGTCAAGAAATATTGGCACGGCTCATTGAGCCTTGCCCTTGCCCTTCTTGGCTTTCTTCGCAATGATTGGGAATATTCTTTTGTGGAACCAGTACCGGCGTAAGTACTCGCTGGGTAGCTGCAGCAGCGATTTGACTCGTATCACTCGTTGCGTTCCACAGTCGCGCGGGCCACCAGCACTTTTGTTCTGGCTATACTTGAGGCCTAGGCGCTGTTTTTCTTGGCGTTCAGCGTCCTCTCTTTGGGGTGTTTGCGAGCAGGCATGATCATAGTGGTGTTGGAGGGGGGGATTTACTAGCGCCAACGTGCCAAAATCGCAACGCAATAGATGTTCTAGCGTTAAAAATCAGGTCGCGTGTTTATCTGTAATGAGGAAAACTTACTTCCGATCCATTCATCCGGTGGTGCACGGCAAGAGCCCCAGGGAGCGCCTCGCTGCTTTGAGTTTGTAGGGACGAAATCGGAGGGGCAAGTCGACAGCATAGGTAGTATGCTGTCAACCGCCAGCGTAAATTCCATATCTTCATCCACGTCGTCGGCGCGGACGTATATCGATGGCCAAGCATCTATTCTCTCAATTTCCGCGCCTGGAAACGTTTTGAGGAGGACACCCATGTTCCCGGGACGCTCCAAAACGTCTTGTACCGCCACTCGCTGGAGGCCGAAATGGGAAAAGGTTGGGATAAGAGAGGAGAGGACGGGGTCGTTAAACACGTCGTGAGTATACATGATGCGGATTAGGGTCGGGAAAAGATCCTCAGACAGCTTGCGTCCAGGGCTGTTCTTGGCGCATTCATGGTAGCAATTGGTGTCCTTTCCAAGGACCAACATATTGCAGTCACCACACCTGCCCCAACGGAACTCGTCGACGGTGCTGTGGTTCCCGTTCAGCTTCTGATTCTTCCGCTGCCGGTAGGGGTCCAACACCCCGTCGATGATGACCTTAATCTTTTCCTCAAAGGCTTCACGCTCTTTCCTCCTTGCTTGCAGCACCGCTGTCGTCGCAAAGCCCCCGAGCGAGCGAGCGTCGTGATCCTCAGCCAACCGCTGTTGACCAGCGATAGCATTATCGTACGCCTCTTGGCTATTGCCATAGACTCGCGATGCACAGGAAATCCGAATCCCTTCATCCCGCGAGAGAAGCCAGGTCTTATACTGCTCCCCAAACATCTCCTGCCGATATTGGAAGGGGACGAGATGATAGGGATCTGGCGGCAGCCCCCCTCGAATCAAGCGCCGAGCAAGGTCCATGATAGCCTCATATTGGGCGAGGCGCTCGGGACCCTTGGGGGCGGCATGAGTGAAGCCAGGTATGTCGTATGGGGCTGCACGCTCAGTAGAAAAATTGACATTCTCCACCCGAAGTCGGCGCAGATGACCCGATGTAGTTGAGCATCGTGCATATTGCTCCTTGACACGATTGAGCGTGGCACGGATGGGGGTGCTTTGGAGCCGAACTTCCACAGCGTCGCGAAGGCTCTCGAAGTATTTCCAAGTAGCCTCAGCATTGCTCCGATCCGGGACAATGCCTTGAGTACAGAAATCGTTGACGATGCCAAGCGCCACTTTCTCGATGATGGAGACAAGGTGAATGATTTGTTCAGAGAGGTATGCTTGTTTGGGGTCGTACTTGATTGCCCCGCAATCAAGATTAGGTATGAGCAGTGCAAGCGATGCTGCATCTGCACAGCAGGAGATAATAAACAGGTTTCCGATGCAACGGATGTACTGATCATCGTCCGAAGTCGGATACCAATTATCGGGGCTCTCGGGTAAGAACTTCAAGATGTCGTCAGGTGTGGTGCCTGAACTGAGGAGCACACGAATATGCAGAGGGAGTGAGAGCTGCATCGTTGACAATGCACCAGACGTGCACATCGTAAACATTGCGTCAGACCAAGTAGAAATTACGATCGGCCTGACTATGCCCAGTAACTGCGCCATCCAGACGAGATGTAGCCAATACCATGGATGCTTGACGATAAACCTCCAGAAATCAACTGAAGGCCCTAAAAACCCGGTTATTTCAGCGATAGTAAGGTCGCCAGAAAGGGGGATGTCGGGGCAAATCATGTGTTGTATATGCCTGAATGACTGGAGGGCTTTTCCTGTCTCGCTTTGCCACGGCGCTTGGTGTTCTCCTAAGAAAAAGTTGAATTAAGAACGCGAACGTGGAAAGACAAGGGATAGCTGACCTTCAAAGTCCTCCCGAGAGATATCTTTCATAATTCTAAGGAAGGGAATGACACCTTCGTCCGTTTCCCGCAACACTCCCGTGAAATTTCGCATAGCCGACTCAAGTGCAGTGGGATTTATGGAAGGAAGCCCAGCGCGGCGCAGCCATTCCAGCTGGCCTCGCAGTGCCGAGGTGGCTGTCTCAGCCAAACCCGTCTCCTTGCTACCGTATAGGCTGCGAAGGGAATCCCGAGGCTCCAGAAATGTTTCAATCGACGGATCCGGTCGATAGCGGCGTATAAATCCTCCAGGGGCCGAATTCAGGCAGCTGAGTCTCAATACAGACACCAGCAGCACCTCCATATCGCTAGCTATCCGATCTGACCTTGCGCCACTCGAGTGGGGCATATCGAGTTCACATAATTGGTATGCTCTCCATTGGTGTGTCCTCTCCAAGGCTCCCAAGAAGTTACCAAAACGCGATAGGGGCTTGGCGGCCACGTCGTCAGCATGGCGGACACCCGGGCGCTCTGCGAAAGACTCTCCGGCGTACACAGGGAGGAGAGGGCGAGAGCCGTGCGTCAGACCAACGAGTTGTGTGTACTCCGAAGAGTCTTGGAGGGTGTCGCAGAGGATATGGACTGCGCCCGTGTGATTG